CATCTTAGTTTTAATTAAAAATCTTTCATAACGGCAAGAATTATGGAAGTGCCGACTGGAAAATAGTTGGCGGTTGCGTGAATGAAATACTGCACATCAAAATGAGCAGAGACATAAATAAAGAGCACCGGGCGACCATAGGCAGGACTATCCAAACAAGACCTTCAGCGGCCAGGTTTTCTTAAAGGGACAGTTCACTCAAACATCTAAATATGCAGCTCATTTGGACAAGCCATGCAAACTGTGGGTGACTTTATTTTATCACCAGGTGTATATGAAAGCTTTTTAGATTAAACCATAGTCCAAAACCAAACATCATGATAATATATTACTTTAGGTATGCACGGAAAAATGAAAGTAGCAACATGTGGCACAGTATGGTGTCCCATTCTGCTCTGCTTATAAAGGAATACTTGTTTTGAAAAAGGCTCATTTTACATCTGCAATGGTTAAACAGGTGAGTTACTCTTTTTGAGTCTATTAAGCCAATATCCGGGTCTGGCAGGAGCAATTTTAGCTTAGCTTAGCATAAATCATTGAATCAGATTAGACCATTAGCATTCTGCTGAAAAGTATAAAAATAAAACATCTGTTCATAGACCATTTGCATTCCACTGAAAATTGTAAACAAATTGTATATAAATAGCAAAAAAAATATTATGCGTAATATATTTAGCTTAGCTTAGAATAAATCATTGAATCAGATTAGACCATTAGCGTTCTGCTGAAAAGTATAAAAATAAAACATCTGTTCATAGACCATTTGCATTCCACTGAAAATTGTAAACAAAGTTTATATAAATAGCAAACAAAATATTATGCGTAATATATTTAGCTTAGCTTAGCATAAATCATTGAATCAGATTAGACCATTAACATTCCCTTGAAAAGTGTAAAAATGAAGTGTTTTTGACAAAATATCATGCATAATACAATTGTGCCTGCTTTTAGCTTAGCTTAGCTTAGCATAAATCACTGAACCAGATTAGACCATTAGCATTCCGCTGAAAAGTGTAAAAATTAAAGTTTTTTAAAATTATGCAAAATATCACACGTAATATCATTGTGCCTGCTTTTATATTAGGTTAGCATAAATCATTGAATCAGATTAGGCCATTAGCATCCTGCTAAAAAAAGTGTAGAAATAAATAGTTTTTGATGCAAAATATCATGTGTGATATGGTTGTCTCTGCCTTTAGCTTAGCTTAGCATAAATCATTAAATCAGATTAGACCATTAGCATTCCACTGAAAAGTGTAAAAAATAAAGTGCACTTCAATGGCATGCAAAATATCATGAGTAATATCATTGTGTCTGCTTTTAGCTCAGCTTAGCATAAATCATTAAATCAGATTAGACCATTAGCATTCCACTGAAAAGTGTAAAAAATAAAGTGCACTTCAATGGCATGCAAAATATCATGAGTAATATCATTGTGTCTGCTTTTAGCTCAGCTTAGCATAAATCATTAAATCAGATTAGACCATTAGTATTTTGCTCAAAAGTGTAAACAAAGTGTTTTTATATAGCATGCGAAACATCATACATAACATCATTGTGCCTAATTTTAGGTATTCTTAGCATAAATCACTGAATCAGATTAGACAATTAGCATTCTGCTAAAAAGTGTAGAAATAAATTGTTTTTGATGCAAAATATCATGAGTAATATCGTGCCTGCTTTTAGCTTAGCTTAGCATAAATCATTGAATCAGATTAGACCATTAGCATTCCGCTGAAAACTGTAAAAAATAAAGTGTTTTTGATGCAAACTATCATGTGTAATATCGTGTCTGCTTTTAGCTTAGCTTAGCATAAATCATTGAATCAAATTGGACCATTAGCATTCTGCTAAAAAAAGTGTAGAAATAAATTGTTTTTGATGCAAAATATAACGTGTAATATCGTGCCTGCTTTTAGCTTAGCTTAGCATAAATCATTGAATCAGATTAGACCATTAGCATTCCGCTGAAAAGTGTAAAAAATAATGTGCATTTCAATGGCATGCAAAATATCATGAGAAATATCATGCGCCTAATTTTAGCTTAGCTTAGCATAAATCATTGAATCAGATTAGACCATTAGCATTCCGCTGAAAACTGCAAAAAGAATAAAGTGTTTTCGATGCAAAATATAATATCATTGTGCCTGCTTTTAGCTTAGCTTAGCATACATCATTGAATCAGATTAGACCATTAGCATTCCACTGAAAAGTGTAAATTGAAGTGTTTTTGAATAGCATGCAAAATTATTGTAAAGCATGGATATATGTTAAGATGGATTTATACTAGGCTGGATGTGCACTAAGATGGATGAATGTTAGGACGGATGGATGTAAGGATGGATGGACGTAAGGATAGATGCATGTTAGGATGGATTTATGTTACAATAGATGGATGTATACTAGGATGAATGTGTGTTATGATGGATGTATACTAGGCTGGATGTTAGATGGATGTTAGGATGGATACGTTAGGATGGATGGACGTATTCTAGGATGGATGTATACTAGGCTGGATGTGCAGTAGGACGGATGAATGTTCGGATGGATGGATGGATGGAGGGATGTTACCATGGATGGATGTAAGGATGGATGTATACTAGGATGGATGTACACTAAGATGGATGAATGGTAGAACAGAAAGATGTAATGATGGATGGATGGATCCATGTTAGGATGGATAAATGTTAAGATGGATGATGTATGCTAGGATGGATGTATGCTTGGATGGATAGATGTTAGGATGGATGTATGCTAGGATGGAAGGGTGTACATTAGAATGGATGGATGGATTTATTATCACTCCAATTGTTTTGTTCTGAAAGAAGAAAGGCATGAATAAACACCTCGAAAGGCTTGTTGGGCAGTAAATTAAGGCCTATTTTCCTTTTCTTGGCGAAGCAGCGGCACCTGACGCGTGTTGCAGGGCTTTGAAACACACGAGGCGTTGGACTCTGTTTATCACTCTGTCAGCCACAGAAATACGTGTTGGCAGGCAAGGCTAATGATTTAGAGGCAGCAGAGGGGGTTTAAATATTACTCGCTGGAGAAAAAGGTTTGAATGAAGGAGGTCCAGGGGCCAAAGGTGCGACATATAGCACCAACAGTTGTCAAGCGTACAAAGAAGCCCAGTGTAGAAGCCAATCTCATATAGCGGTGAAAGATCCCGCGTTTAACGAGCGGCGTTCAGTGGAAAGGCACTCAGTCAAGCTCAGAAACACGGCAGGGTGATCTCACCTCACACCATACACACATATACACAATATACACACATATACACAAACACTATTAGTGCAGATTCGCTCGCAGCCTTTTACCATCCAACAAACCAGGGCAAATATGGGGATGTTGGTGTTGATCCTTGCAACCTTTGCGGTTATAAAAAAATGATGTGCGAAAATCATAAAATGAAATGCATCATGTAAAAATGAACTTGAGTGTTTGTGTGTGGTTTGTGTGTCTGAGAGAAACACGAGAGCAATTATTTACATGATATACCCCCAAAGTCATGTTATAACCATTCAGTAAAAACAATCAAGTGTAAAAAGAACACATATTTATGATGATGATAATAATAATAATATTAATAATAATAATAAGAATCGAATAAGAGAAAAATACTCCATACTGCACACCCCAATAAGCCAAACATCCACAACGGTTCATTACAATATATAAATAAATAATAAATGCATACAAAACTCAAAAGAAATATTTGGGTTTTTTTTTCAAATTGTACATTTTGTTGGGAGATTTCTTGAAAACTAATAGTGTTAAAGAACCAACATTTCAGGGAAAAAGATTGTGGTAAATTTAACCTATTAATATTTAACAATGTATTTGTTAATTGCATGTGTTATTGACATTGATTTAATAATGCAGACTGTAGGAAATAATTATACATAATATGCAAATGTTACATTTTACTTTTGTATAACATATTTTATAATAACTTGCATTTTAATATTATTTATATTTCTAATATATTTCTGATAATAATGGATTTCTAATGCAAAATTACTAATAGTTTTTAAAATAAAAATTAGTTTGTAATTTAGTTTATCAACATTTATTTTAAAATGACATTAAAAAACTTTATATATAATAATTATAAATTATCTCTAAATGTATGTATTTATTAATATAATTTATAAATAATTTATAATTTATTATATTTGATAATATTAATTGTATTGCTGATATTATTGTTATCATTATCATGATCACAAATTATAAATATGTATTGTTTCACTTGATTTATTAAAATATATAATACAATTTGGAAGTAAAAGAATTTTTAAAATTAAATATATATTAAAATAAAAAACAATAAAAAACATTAAATTAAAAATTGCATTAAAACATAATTAAATAAAAAACAATTACATCAATTTAAAATAACATTTAAATAAAATAAAAAAACAAAAATAAAAACAAAACATAAAAACGAAACACAACAAAACAGAACAAAACGAAATGAAACAGAACAAAACAACAAAATGAAACAAAAACAAAACCAAACTAAACAAAATTTAAAACAAAACTAAAACAGAAAACAACTAAAAACAAAACAACAAAACGAAACGAAACAGAACAGAATGAAACAAAATTAAACAGAACAAAACAACAAATTGAAACAAATCAAATCAAAACAAAAAAACTAAACTAAACAACTAAAAACAACAGCAAAACAAAACAAAAAAATAAATAAAACAAACCGAAATGAAACAAATGAAACGAAATAAATTTAAACGAAACAAACAAAACAAAAACCAAACGACAAAATGAAACACAACAAAACAAAACAAAGACAAAAACAAAACAAACTGAAACAAAACAAAACAAACTAAAGCAAAACAAAACAAAACAAACAAAAACAAAACAAACTAAAGCAAAACAAAACAAAATTAAAACAAAAAGAAACAGAATGAAACACAGTTTCTTTCAGTTTCACTCTGAACTCATAGTTGATGCTCTTTCTTTTTTCTATCTTCACTCACCACCTCCTCATCAGAGAGCTCCCGCCCTTGAATGCTGCTGCTGTCCCGCACCGCCTGCTGGTGCCTTTTCCCCTTAATGTGACTGAACAGGTGGACCTCAGAGGTGATCTGCAACACAAACAGAGGACGGAGAAAATAAATGTAAAGCTACAGAACAGAACAACATACAGATCTACAGCACTACAATACATTTCGGCATCATTCACGGCCTGCAGGTTCTCAGGTGTCAGGACATATGTTCAAACCCTTTAAAGCTAAATATGATCCCTGACGGACATCTGCAGAGCTGACAGACAGTTCTGAGAAGAGCTTGAAAAATCAGAAAACACTGCTGAATAACTGAGAACTAAAATGACCAGAGAGCTTCGACACTTCAAGTTGTGAATGCATCGTCGCCTCGAGCACTGTTTTTCGCCATCTCGAATTTCACCTCTCGAGCTCACCTGTCCTGAAAACTCAAGAGGTCATGTGAAAGCATACAAGACTCCTGCTGCATTCAATGTCTCTATTATTCATGTAAGGGTTGTGGTGGTCATGAGAAGCTGAGGTGGTGTAAGATTAATGCAGAGAAATTTGGGCTGGTAAGCAAAAGGTTGCAGGTTCAAATCCCTTAAGGGCTGTTCTTGACCTACACCTGAGTGTCTCCCTTTGTTCATTACATAAGGTAGTAATGCAAGGTTTGAACTACTGTACATGAGGTTAGGTAAAATATGAATGTTCTCACGTTTTCTAGAACAAGAAAAAGTTATTGGTTCAAACCAAGGCTGGACTGGGGCAAAAAAATCGGCCCTGGCATTTTGGGCCAGAGCGGCCCACTACATTCAATCAAAATGCTATCTATCTCTGCACGTCCAGTATTTTAATCAACTCATATTTTATAAAACACAAAAGCCATATATATGAAATAAATAAATACAAACTTTAAGCGTCAATTAATAAGGCAGAAAAAAAACAATAGGCTGCTAAGCCTTTTATGGGCCAATCAGATCATAAGACGATGATCAGCCCGGCCCAAAAAGTACGTTGGCCCACTGGGAAAGTGCCCAGTCTGCCAGATGGCCAGTCCGCCCCTGGTTCAAACCCCACACAAGAACGTGAACTACAACCAAGTGCCCGCTTTCCTCATTACATGATAGATTTGTACAGGGTTTGAACCACATAAGATTTAGTAAAAGATGACAATCTTATATGATTTTTTTTAATAGCTAAAAAGGTTGTTGGTTCAAGTCCCATAAATTCTGATCTTTGAACTAAAACGGATTGTCCCCCTTTCGTTACTACAATCCATAGACAATTTGAATTACTTAAGGTTAAAGTAAAAGATTACTGTTTTAGGTAAATTTTTCAAATACATGTAAAAGGTTGTTGGTTCTAACTCCTTGAGGGCTGATCTTGAACTACACCCAAGTGTCTCCCTTAGTTCATTACATAAGGAAGTGATGCAAGGTTTGAACTACTGTCCATGAGGTTAGGTAAAATATGAAAGTTTGCAGGTTTTGTAACAGAAAGGAAAAGGTTATTGGTTCAAATCCCACTAAAGAAGGACATGGACTTCAACCAAGGGTTTGAACACAGAAACGTCACCTGACCCAGCCATGGCTTGAACCAGTAACCTTCTTGCTGTGAGGCGAACGTGCTACCCACTGCGCCCCATACTACATGAGGTTAAAGTAAAAGATGACAGTTTCAATTTAACTTTTCTAATACATGAAAAGTTTGTTGGTTTTAACTCATTGAGGGCTGATCTTGAACTACACCCAAGTGTCTCCCTTTGTTCATTACATAAGAAAGCTATGCAGGGTTTAAACTACATGAGGTTACAGTAAGTAAAAGACGAATGTTTTCAGGTTTTCTTATATTAGAAAAGGTAATTGGTTCAAACCCCACAAAGAAGAACCTGAACTACAACCAAGTGTCCTCCTTAAATTATAACATGTTGTTCAAACCCTGTATTAATCATGTTTTCAAGTTAATTTATCGAATCCATAAAAAGGTTGCTGGTTCTAACTCCATAAGGGCTGATCTTGATCTATAACTAAGTTTTCAGGTTTCTAATAATTGAAAAGGTTGTTGGTTCAAACTCCACAAAGGTAAAACCTGAACTATCACCAATTGTCTGCCTTCATTTATGGCATGAAAGAGTATAACAATTTTGAACCACACATGGTTAAATTGAAATTTGTAATAGCTAAAAAGATTGCAGGTTCAAATCCCTTAAGGGCTGTTCTTGAACTACACCTGAGTGTCTCCCTTTGTTCATTACATATGGAAGTAATGCAAGGTTTGAACTACTGTACAAGAGGTTAGGTAAAATATGAAAGTTTGCAGGTTTTCAAGTACAAGAAAAGGTTATTGGTTCAAACCCCACACAAAACCATAAACTACAATCAAGTGCCCGCTTTCCTCATTACATGATAAATTTATACAGGGTTTGAACCACATAAAATTTAGTAAAAGATGACAATCTTATGTGATTTTTTTAATAGCTAAAAAGGTTGTTGGTTCCAGTCCCATAAATGCTGATCTTTAAACTAAAACGGATTGTCCCCCTTTCGTTACTACAATCCATAGAAAATTTAAACAACATAAGGTTAAAGTAAAAGATGACAGTTTTCAGGGTTAATTTTTCTAATACATGTAAAAGGTTGTTGGTTCTAACTTCATAAGGGCTGATCTTGAACTATACCCAACTGTCTCCCATTGTTTATTACATAAGAAAGTTACATAGGGTTTGAACTTCATGAGGTTACAGTAAGTAAAAAATGAAAGTATTCAGGTTTTCTAATATTAAAAAAGGTTATTGGTTCAAACCCCAGAAAAGAAGAACCTGAACTACAACCAAGGGTCCCCCTTTCCTCATTACATGATAGATTTGTACAGGGTTTGAACCACATAAGATTTAGTAAAAGATGACAATTTTATGTGATTTTTTTCTAATAGCTAAAAAAGGTTGTTGGTTCAAGTCCCATAAATTCTGATCTTTGAACTAAAACAGATTGTCCCCCTTTCGTTACTACAATCCATAGACAATTTGAACTACTTAAGGTTAAAGTAAAAGATTACTGTTTTCAGGTTAATTTTTCTAATACATGTAAAAGGTTGTTGGTTCTAACTCCTTGAGGGCTGATCTTGAACTACACCCAACTGTCTCCCTTTGTTCATTACATAAGAAAGTTACATAGGGTTTGAACTTCATGAGGTTACAGTAAGTAAAATATGAAAGTATTCAGTATTTCTAATATTAGAAAAGGTTAATGGTTCAAACCCCAAGAAAAGAAGAACCTGAACCACAATCAACTACAAGCAAGGGTCCCCCTTTCTTTATCATTCAAAAGATATGGTTATAGAAGAGAAAGTTTTCAGTCTATTTTGCCACTTGAAATCAGTCCTAATACTAAAAAAAAAAAAAAAAAAAAAAAATAGGGCGGTGCAAGATTTCGCTCTTTGGGAACTGATTGGATTGTTGGAGGATAATGGCAGATTTCATTTTTGAGAAGATTTTTCCCTTTAACCACATGCCTGAGAAGACTGAACCAAGTTGGTTGCTGTGCATGAAACTTACCAAAGTGTGAAACATGCTACACATATTCAACTAAAAAGTAAGAAAAGGTTTTTCCTATGGCAGGTAAGGACAACAGTATCCCGATGCTTGTGTTGTTTGTCTCCTTTCGAGTCCTGGAGTCGAGCCCACACAGGACAGTCTGTGTATAATGTCATTAACTAGAGTGCTTCCCGCTGACCTAAAGATGATCTCTAGTGTCAGAGCCTGGCCAAGGTCATCTGACATTTTTAACAAGATTTCATTCTCCCCGGCGCTTAATCTGATGTCAGTTTGAAGCTCCAAGGTGTCTGGCCCCAGTTGCAGTAAAAGCCGGACGCGGCAGAGATAAATGCGGCCACTCAAAGATTTGTTGCCCGTCGCTTGAAAAGCATAATCACGCCCAGCTATTAATCTCCGCCCAGAGTTCATGTTTAATTAATGCAGTTAAATTCTCATTTACATGCATTCGCCATGAAAATCCTCTGAATCACCTTGTAGTCTGTGATTTTATGTACTCTGCCTGGCAAAGCAATGAAGACAAGCTGTCCATTTCTACTACTGCAACTGCCTCTGGAACAGCTGGATTCATGGATTTCTCAGCTTTTGCAAGCACTAAAATTTCCCCAATGTTATTGTTATTTTATTTTGGAGATGAGTTAAAATATGTTTAAATCTATCGAAGGTCAACAAATTATCTTTACATATAGTGCAGCATCAGCTCTTCATAGTGTCTGAAATGGTTAATTCAAGGATTCGGTCTCTCTTAAAGGGATAGTTCACCCAAAAAAGAAAATCTTTTACTCACCAGTCACTTGTTTAAAACCTATTCAAGTTTATTTCTTACGTAAAACACAAAAAAGCTCATTTTAAAACAGCTGGTAAATGGCTGTAATCATTGACTTCCATTGTATTTTTTTCCTACTATAGAATCTAGATTATTGCATGTGCTTCTACAGAAGTATGCCAGCAACCATGCATTCTCCCAAATATCTTCTTTTGTGTTCAACACAAGAAAGAAAATCAAAGGAAGGTATAAAAGTACTTTTTCAAATGACTTAAAATGAGCTGAATCAACATAAATCTTCAGTTTTTTGGCACAGCTTAAGTGTTTTTGTTCATTCCACTAAATTTGCAAAATACAATGAGGTTAACTAAATTAATTTGTGTTGGGACAACATGAAGGAATTGTGTGAAACCCTGCATCTTTTACAGTTTGAGGGAGAATAAAGGATGAAGTCATTTTCATTTTTGAATGAACTAACAAGGACTGGTTTGAAAAACAGACTCATTCTTCAGATTAATGAAACAAAATGCATCCAGAGGACATGAATAATTTCTCCAGAAGATTATCTTTTGAGCTGTTTCACAAAACAACATATTGAGCAAAAACACAACAAGCCTACAAAAGCACCTCTCTAGGATTTAGTATGTGTTTCGCAGACACATTGAACATAGGCCCATAAAGCCTTTGTCTAAAGATCACATTTACATTTTTGAATTATAGTCTAGCATAGTCTAGTCTAGTCTAGTCTAGTCTAGTCTAGTATAGTATAGTATATTATAGTATAGTATAGTATAGTATGGTATAGTACAGTATAGTCAGGGCTCGAAATTGTGACCGTTTTGGTCGCATATGCACCCGAAATTTAATCTATGCGACCTCATAATATATTTTGGAGCATTTGTGCGACTGCATATAATGGTTGAAGTGTGACCTGTTTTGGTGCATGTGTGCGTGCGTATATATACACACAGGACTTAGTTTGTTCCCAAACGAGTTCCGGCACCTCTGAAATGTGATCCGGCACCTCATTTTACCGATCCCCCTCCTCACACGTACACCCCCCTCCCCACTGTTCACTTTCTTCAACGACTCCCAAACCCTCTTCATGTCCATCTACAATACACACGATACACCCCCCCCCCCCTATCCGCGATACCCTAATCCCCCCACCCCGCTCTACACTTTTGTCCACGACACCTCTCCTTCCTCTTGTATTTTGTAATATGCCAGATCCGTTACCCCAATCTGTTCCAGAACCTCGCAATTTACAAACTAAGCATAGATAGATAGATAGATAGATAGATAGATAGATAGATAGATAGATAGATAGATAGATAGATAGATAGATAGATAGATAGATAGATAGATAGATAGATAGATAGATAGATAGATAGATAGATAGATAGATAGATAGATAGATAGATAGATAGATAGATAGATACACAGATAGATAGATACACCACAGTTCTGTCTGGTTTTTGAATCTGATTGCCTGACAGCTGTGATAATATCTGCACTCTGACTACCTCATCACCCTTGTGTATTACTCCGCCCACGATCAGAGACATCAAGAAGGTTAAAGAACTCTCCACACAGTTTGACGAATATAGCAGCTGCTGGACAACAAAGGATTTGTGAGGCTTTTTTAGTTGAGAATGCACTTGTTTAGATTGCAACTACGCAGTTTATTGATAATGCCTATTTGAAAATATGATTTAATTAACTTGGGACTTTCAGCACGTCATATTGCCCAACGTGAGCACTCCTCTGACAATAACTAATTCAAAAGTATGGAGGGTGTCTTTATTTTAGTCTACTGTAAAATGTTGTTTGTTGAGGCTATTTCTAAAGAAAATACTTTGGTCACCTGTGCCTCGTGCCAACACATGCCTCCCACCAGTGCTGATATGCAGTCATATCACACTGCTACTCATGTGATACTGCTCATATCAAAAGAAAATTCATATCATAACAAAACAGAGGTAAGTTTTATACCACAAGATGTTTTTTTACATTACCATATAAACAAAAAAAGCTAAATATGTTTTCAGTTTCTTAAACATGTTTCCAGTTGTTGAATGTCATCGTTACTTGTACTACAGATTCCGGGACACTGGAGCGTTTTAAAGCTGCTGATGAATTGCAGCTTTAAACTACTCCAGTGTCTCTGTATCCGTGGTTACACTCAGTAAACAGTTGGGTGAACTGATGAGCTTCTTTGCCAATCACAGTCATTTCTGCAGAGCACGTGAACACAATGGCAAATCAGCGCTGTTTAGGAACGCATTCAAATGTTAGCGGCAGTGGACATTTTTTAAATGTAATATCGATTGGTATTCCAGTATCGTGACAAAGCTAAGCGATCCAAAATCAAACTAAAACAAAATGAATTAAATTGCCAATTAGTGGTCCCAGCAATGGCATTTATCTGCTCTTTATATAATCCTAACGCATCCCATAATGCAGTACTTACCACAACGTTACAGAGCGAGCACTGCTTCTTCCGTTCATACGGTGTGAGTTTGGGAGCGTAGTCTGTGTTTGCGTGTCTCCCACTGCTCAGCTCAGCGGCTTTCTCCTTCCTCTGCTCCATCTGCTCCATGTGTCTGCGACTGCTCTCGTCGTGCTGAAAACATGAACAGTTTTTGTAAACGGTGATGAACATAAAAAGGGTGTTTGAAATCAATTAATGATTAATTCTAATGACATCGAGATCACGATTCTCATGCACATCTTGTCAGGGAAGCACAGCTCTATGATCAGTAGTAAAACTCCAAACACCAGTAGCACAGTATAATACTATAGTTTACCTTCATCTGGATTTTCTTCTGCAGTTCCTCCATGGCTTCCTGCTGAGCTGCGCTGAGAGCAGCCAAACGCTCTTCACGATCCCTATCAGTAAATAAAAATAATCATTCAGGGGCGATAAATAAAAGTATTCAAGCTGCAAAGAGTTTAGGTGATCTTCAAAGTTATAAATATTTGCCCACAAATTTAAAAACAGAGTTATTTAATTCTATTCTTTCTCAAATATGTCTTCCACACATGTACAAAATGAATCAAAGTGATTGAATAATCAATGTCATATTATATCATTTATGTAGAATTGTATTGCATTGATAGACGGCCTAGTGTCTACTCGTTGCTTGAAACTAAGGGGTGCGCTCATATATATATATATATATATATATATATATATATATATATATATATATATATATATATATATATTAAGGGTGTCACGATCCTTCAAATCCTCGATTCGATTACATTTTCGATTCTAAAGGCACGATTCGATTCAATTTTCGATTATGAATAATTAATTAATGACCAAATTAATTATTTGTAGCCTACCGTTTAAACTACCTGACCTGCATGGTCTTTGTTTTACCCATAAACAAATCATACAGTAAATGAATAAAGGCAAGATACACACATAATTACCACCTGTCAATCACTTTTTCTGCGGGACTCGTGAATAGGCAGTGATCTGTGTCGTTATAATGGCGTCGGTAAAAAAGACGCACAACCAACAGGAACCAGCCAACAGTATCTGAGGTGTTCGCTAAAATGACTAAGTACAAGTGAGTGAAAGATTGAAGCAGTCCTCTGACCTGCTCTCTCGAGCATATGGCTGTGTGCGTCTGTGTGTGTGTGGTCACGTGATGTGCATTTTCAGAGGTAGAGAGGAGGGAGGGCTGCTCAGAAATGCTACACGCCACTGTGGATGTTAAATCGTTGTCGTTCTAAAATGCCATTTAAAAACAAAGACAGTGTGAACAGGGCCTGAAGCAGGTCGCACACCAGAAGCGCCGCTCGGCGCCGCGACATGGCGCGCACATGACAGTTTAAAGTATCGCACACCAGACGCGCACATTCGTATGATATTTAACATGAAACGAATCAGATGGCGCTCTGTGGCGCAGCTGAAAATTGAACTGCGTCCTGAGCCGTCGCCGGGCGCCGCCGACAGCCGCCGACTTGCGGCGCCGGTGTGTGTATCCTGATAGAAACCTATGTTTAGAATTCTAAAATACATGGCGCTACGTGGCGCGCCGCCGAGCGGCGCTTCTGGTGTGCGACCTGCTTCTGTGTGTACTTTTCGCGAGCGGATTTGCAACGGGGGCGGGCGGAGGATCGCGATGCTGGTGTTGTCTATCGGACAAACCGTACGTAATACGTACATAGCAGAGCTTGGAAAACTGTGTTTTTTTTTTGTCGACAACACGAACGTTGTCAACATAACTCACTGGAAATCCAAAATGCTTCCACACCGCCACACACTCGACTTCATTGAAAGAGGAGAGGGTTTAAGCTCTGTCGACGGGTCTCCTGCTTCTGCAGTTTAACAAGCACTTCAACAAGCCTGTTTTTTCCCACTTGGCAAGCCAAGCTGACGTGACATGGGGGCGAGCCAGCATCGACGATTCTATTTTTTCATTCGATAATCGAAATTGAGCATAAATTTCGATCGATTTCGTATATATATATATATATTATGTATATATATATATTATATGTATATATATTAGTTCTGTCAATCAATCAAAAAATGTATCTAATTAATCACACTTTTTTATATTAATTGCGATTAGTCACATTTAAAAGACTGAAACTTGTAATTCTGGCTATTCAAATGTAAAATTAATGTAAACGCAAGACAAAAACTATTTAAATTCAAAATATAATTGTTTATTAGAATTTTTTTTTTACTTGTAACACAGATTTCTTCATGTAAACAACAAACCCACAGTAAACCATAGAAGTAAAGATCCTTATTGTACGAGGAACTACTTTCTTCCGCCTTGGATTCAAATCATAAGCTGACAGTTAAACAGTTGAGCAAGCATCTTTTAAACTTTAGATCTGTTGTGTCTGCTTTTTTGCTGGCTGTATGTGGGCGGAGTAATACACAAAGGGTAAAGAGGCTTTACGGGTGCTGATATTACTTAAATATATCACGGCTATAAGCCTATCAGATCCGAGAACCAGACAGAACTGTTGTATATATATATATATATATATATATATATATATATATATATATATATATATATATATATATATATATATATATATAATTTTTTTGTATTATTATTTTATAGATAAATTTCTTTATCATGGCTCCAAACTTTTGAGTTGTACTCTGTACTTTGGCTATAATGTACACTTTCCCTAAATCAGCTTGAGGCCTTCGCACTGGTCTGTTCTGTCCTTGTGTTTTGCTGAATCAGGGTGTTTGGTGTGTTTGGCAGGGCGTGATGCTGACCTGGCTCTCTCTCGCGCTGCATCTTCTCTGGCTCTATCCTTCTCCTGCCGCTGCTGCTCGATTCGGGCCTCCTGCTCGCGTCTCTTCATCAGCAGCTCCTCCACACGCGCCTGCCGCTCAGCCTCCAGCACACGCTTACGCTCCTGAAGACAAACAGAAATTAATCAATTAAAAGGTATAAAACAGTCATATCACCCTGCAGCCCAAGACCGGTTACTCACTGAAGCTAAGCAGGGCTGAGCCTGGTCAGTACCTAGATGGGAGACAACATGGGAAAACTAGGTTGCTGTTGGAAGTGATGTTAGAGAGGCCAGCAGGGGGCGCTCAACCTGCCGTCTGTGTGAGTCCTAATGCCCCAGTATAGTGAAGTGGACACTATACTGTCAGTGAGCGCCGTCTTTTGCATGAGAAATTAAACCAAGGTCCTGACTCTCTGTGGTCATTAAAAATCCCATGGCACTTCTCGTAAAGAGTAGGAGTGTAACCCCGGTGTCCTGACCAAAGTCCCTTAATCGGCCCTTACTGATCATGGCCTCCCAATCATCTCCATCCACTAAATTGGCCGTATCACTGTCTCAGCACTCCACCGATAGCTGGTGTGTGGTGAGCGCATTGGCGCAGCAGTCCTGTGGCTGCCGTCGCATCATCCAAGTGGATGCTGCACATTACATATTAAATTAAATTACAAAACAAACAAGCAAAATAGGGTTAGGCTTTATACCTGAACGGCTTCATCACGGGCTTGTTTTTCTTCCTGCCTGCGCTGGCGTTCCTCCTGCAGCTCATTGAGCCGCTGTTCATATTCGTCTAGCTTGGCCAGAACATCGTGCCTCTTGTTTTGAGCCTCCAGAGTGTTGATGAAAGCGATCTCATTCACCTACAAAACAAATAAACAAATAGAGCATTAAGATATTTCATTAATATTTGCATATGTATGATTCTTCATGAGGAGAGGGCTACATTTAAACTTTCCTTTTTAAACATATGAAGAACTTTTTCTTTGATGTCTGCATATCATCGTGGACATAATTCAGAAACACAAGTTTATTAAAGGGGACCTGTTGTTTTACAAGATGCAAAATAATTGTCTCCCTGTCACATTTGCCACGACTAAACAACAAACGTGCTAAAAATACGTGTGTATGTTCACAGCGAAGGTGTGTAGTAAGGGCATTTGTGTGTGGCTCATGGTTCATCATTCAGAAAGGCTGAATAAACGCCACAACAACTACATCTAATAAACTTCCTGGTTCAGTCTTACTGTGGTATTTTGAGTATGTGGTCTTACTGCCTCATCAGTGTCTTATGTTGATGATACTTAAGCCAATTTTTGAGCAATGTTGCCGGGCAGTATATTGCAGAGCAATGTTGCTCGACTACTTTTATATTCCCATTCCTACAGTACATACAGCTGAAATCAGAAGATTACATACACTTTATAAAAAGGCACATAACCATTTAGAAAAATAGTCAGATGTTAATGTGACTAAACTTTTTCTCTTTTAGGTAAGTTAGGATTATCACATTTGTTTCTGTTCTGCTTAATAGCAGAATAAAGAGAGAAATAATGTTTGAGTAATTTTCTTTTCTTGAAAGTGAAGTTTACATACAATAAGATCATTCTGCCTCTGAAAAAGTTCAGATGATGATGTCGAGGTTTTGGAAGTTTCTGATTGGCTAATCAACAACATTTGAGTTAATTGGAGGCACAACTGTAGAATAGTATTGAAGGAAAACCTCAAACACACACTGCTTCCTTGTGTGACAACATGGGAAAATCAACTAGCCAGAATCAACAACAAAGCCAGATTACAATTAGCTAAATTACACTGGGGAAAAGACTCATTTTTGGAGGCATGTCCTGTGGTCTGATGGAACTAAGAGTGAACTGTTTGGCCATAATGACCAGTGTTACATTTGGAGGACAAAGGGGAAAGCTTACAAGCCTACTAACACCATCCCAACTGTGAAGTATGGGGACGGCTGCATCATGTTGTGGGGCTGTTTTGCTGCAGGAGGGACTGCTCCACTTCACATCATAGATGGCATCATGAAGAACGAACATTATGTAGAAATACTGAAGCAACATCTCAAGACATCAGCCAGGAAATTAAAACCTGGCCACAAATGGGTCTTCCAAACACACCATGACCCTAAGCATACTGCCAAATTAGTTAAAATGTGCTTTAAGGACAACAGAGTGAATGTTTTGGAGTGGCCATCACAAAGCCCTGATGTCAATCCTATTGAAAATTTGTGGGCAGAGCTGAAAAAGCTTGTGCGAGCAAGACAGCCTACAAATCTGACTCGGTTACACCTATTTTGTCAGGAGGAATGGGCTAAAACTCCTGCAAACTATTGTGAGAAGCTTGTGGAAGGATACCCAAAACATTGACCAAAGTTTTGCAGTTTAAAAGCAAAGCTAAAAAAACAAAAAACAAGGAAATGTGTGTAAACTTTTGACTGTCTAAAAATAAATAAAACAATTCTCTAAATTAAATTCTCTCATTATTCTGGCATTTAGCACATGTAAATCATTTAGGTAATCCTAACAGACCTAAGAGCCTACTCACACTATGCCATCCATACCGTGCCCAGGCCTGTTTCCCGGATTGTTTGAGAAGTGTGAGTGCGCTAAATCGGGCTCAAGCACGGTTCACTTGGCCGGCCCTGGCCCGGTTGGAAGAGGTGGGCCTGAGCGCGGTTTACTTGGGCTTTGGCACGGTACACTTGTAGTGTGAGCGCAAAACACGCCAAAGCCCGAAACTGAAAGCGAGATGTGACTTTTAAGGGACTGTTTTATATGGATTTATTAATCATTCTTACTGTTCAATGAACGAAAACTGCCGCAGTTTACTAAAGACGCAAACCCCTCACTGCACGTCAGCTGCACACCTGCAAACCTCCTCATTCGTGCAGCATGAGAGCTTTATGATTGTTTATGAGCGCCAAAAGTGGCAGATCTGTTCGGCGAAATATCTGACTGTGTGTCACCGCATCCCTAAGGACTGTTTGGCGAAATATTTGACTGCATGTCACTGCATCACAAACAACTGAAACGATATAACTAGAGAAATCTCCACTGTGCTGATGAGAGCGCTTCTCACTGAACAGCGCAGCAGCGATGACGTAAGTGTGCCGAGGCCCGTTTGTGGTGTGAGCGCGGGCCGTCGGGGGAGACGGAAGGGTGGACAAGCGTGCTTTGGCCCGGTTCGAGGCAACTGTACCTAGTGTGAGTACGGCCTTAAATAGTAAACGTTTTTATTATTTTAATTTTTTTTAAATGGTTATGTTCCATTTTTTTAGAGGGAATGTAAACTTCTGGTATCAACTGTGTGTGTCAAAATCAATTCCTGGAGGGCCGCAGTTCTGCACAGTTTTGCTAGAACCCTAACCAAACACAGCTGATCCAACTAATCGAGTGTTCAAAAAAAGTCTTGAACACCTTAAATAGTTGGATCAGCTGTGTTTGATTAGGGTTGGAGCAAAACTGTGCAGAGCTGCGGCCCTCCAGGAATCGATTTTGACACATATCCTATAGTACATTTGTACAGCACTTTGGATCAATTTTATTGTGTAAAAATGAGCTTTATAAATAAATGCTGTTGTAATTGTATCATCATCTCTTTTAGCTTAGCCAGTTCTGACCTTGGCTTCCTCTTCCTGCGCTTTCTTCACGATGGCCTGGAGCTGAAGCTCTCGCTTGAACTCAGCATGAAGCAGCTTCTCCTCCATCATCTTCCTCCTCTGATCCAGCAGCTCTTCTTTCCACTTCCTAACATCCTTCTCCTGAGGAAAAAAAAACGTGAAGATCAAATCCAGACTCGAGAAGTCAAACTTGTCACGGGTGCGAATAACACGTGTTAGTCTTCCACTTCAAGTGCGGATATATAAATACGCAATATTGTCTCAGATCTCGATCCTCTGAAAAGAACGAAGCGAAACAAAAACAAACACACTCGAAGAAGTTAGCAAGATCAGTTTTATGAGGGATGAATCAGCATGAAGGACTAAAATGGCTGTTAAGTGATTCTTTCAGCATGTACGCGCACAGGATTTTCCCCTGTGGCCGAGGCAGGCTAGCAGAGGCTAAATGAGCTGCGTCTACAGGTGTTAAAAGGAAAGAAAAACATACTCTTTCCATCAGTTTCTGCAGCTTGTGGGTCTTCTCCTCTCTCAGCTTGTCTCGGAGCTGCTGGGCTTTCAGTTGTTTCTCTTCGTGTTTCTTCTTGGACTCGGCAATAGTTCTGACAACAAACAGCCAAATGGTTTAAAATGTGATCAGTTAATTTTTTAAGCAAATTAAATGATATTCAGATTAATTGACACACAAATATTAGATTTAGAGGTGTGAACCTATACTGGTCTCACGGTTCGGTTGGGTTACAATTATCATGCCATCGATTCGGTTCAATTCGATATCTTGGTGCATCGACGATGCCTTCCATACACAGTGTTATATTTTGGGGGGAGGCTATAACAAGCTGTCTGTAGGCTATAACAAGGGCTGGTGGTTTATTTCGATGTGGAGACCCCGGATTAATAAAGGGACTACGCCTACAAAAAATTAAATGATTGAACTAATACAACCTTACTGTAAAGTGTCAATAAATCATTAATATTAATTTAAGGAAGCTAATATGCTATAAAGTTAGATGAAAGCTTTACATTAATAGGCATTGCAAAAGGTATTAAAAGATCTGAATCAAATAAAGTTTCTAAAAACAAACAAGATGGGGAAAACGATGCTATTTTACAGAAAACAATTTGAAGGGAGAAATAGCATTATGGTGTGTATGTGACACTGATGTTTTATGAAAAATGGCCTACCAATAGCCAAAATCTTTACAAGCATTAGAATCATGTATTTTAGGTCCCTCGCTTACAAAACTAAATCCATTACATTTAATAGTAATGTCAATGTTTAAGTCAAAATGTAGGTATAAACAGAAACTACACCGGGCATTCGCTAGAGACTATCCTTAATCACGAATACTACATCCAAACCTTTTTTTAAAGCACAAACGAAACTAGAATAGGGTGTTTTTAAATAAATGTAATTAAAAATACCATGTATTAAATTGACTGCCTTAAGAACAACACTGTTACATTTGCTCTCACACATGTATGAATAAGAATAAGATAATATTGTAATTAGTGTAGGGCAAAAAATTAATCATCCAAAATAAAAGTTTGTTTTAACTATATAATATAGTATAAAATATAATATAATATAATATAATATAATATAATATAATATAATATAATATAATATAATATAATATAATATAATATAATATAATATAATATAACAATCTAATATAATAAAACATAATATAATATAATATAATATAATATAATATAATATAATATAATATAATATAATATAACAATCTAATATAATAAAACATAATATAATATAATATAATATAATATAACAATCTAATATAATAAAACATAATATAATATAATATAATCTAATATAATAAAACATAATATAATATAATATAATATAATATAATATAATATAATATAACATAATATAATATAATATAACAATCTAATATAATAAAACATAATATAATATAATATAATATAATATAACAATCTAATATAATAAAACATAATATAATATAATATAATATAATATAATATAATATAATATAATATAACATAATATAATATAATATAATATAATATAATATAACATAATATAATATAATATAATATAATATAATATAATATAATATAACAATCTAATATAATAAAACATAATATAATATAATATAAAATAATATAATATAATAAAACATAATATAATATAATATAATATAACATAATATAATATAATATAATATAATATAATATAATATAATATAATATAATATAATATAATATAATATAATATAATATAATATAATATAATATAATATATATTCAATTCAATTCATGTTTATTTCTATTGCGCTTTAACATTGCAGATTGTGTCAAAGCCAAGCAGCTTAGACAGTCTAGTAAATTGAATCTGCGTTAGTCCAGTTTTCAGAATTAAAGTTCAGTTTAGTTCAGTTCAGTGTGGTGGAACACTGAAAAGCAAATCCATCATCGCACATATGTGTACATACATGCATACACACATATTTATATATATATATATGAGTTTTATATATAAGCATATAAAAGTTTCTTAATATTAAGATAGAAAATATATGTGTATATGATACAAATTATATATAAATTTAAGTATTATATGTTGACATCTAGTTTTGTTTCCATGCATGCGTGTGTGTGTGTGTGTGTGTATCACATACATGATAAATTAATGTATAACAAACACACAAATATCATGTCAAAAGATATTTTAGATCTCATAATTTGAGCTTAATCTTTGCCCAGCACTAATTATAATGAGTACTGGATCACAATTCAACTGAAACCTGTATCTTCCTTTTTGCTTTTTTTGGCCAATTGTAAATTTACATTGCAGTCTTTTTAATGCTTGGCATCCGCAGAGGAAGAAACTATGAGGCAACCTGATAATCCACAGTAGTATGAAATCCCATTTGAGTTGAGTAAATGTCTACAGTTTTCTTTTTTTTTGTTATTTGAATTTATATGTCAGAATTCAAACAAAAGTATTGCAGCAAACTCTCAACCGAATGAATTCAAACAAAATTCCCTTTAAAGAATCTACAATTATTCTGTAAATATAGCGTTGCCAGGTCCACTTATTATAAGTACTGCGTATTTTTAAGCTTCTCTGTGTTTAAGTGATCCAGCTTATGCAATGAATACAGTAGGCAAGCCACAATATTTTGATAATTGGCTTATATCAACAACAAAGAGTTTGGGTGTACGTTTAATTAGAGTTTGTAACAGTACTGTGTTACCGTTTGCGTGAAGGTGATGACAGCTTCTCATGCATGTGAATGCCATGCCCTGGTGGACGCGCGGGTTCTTCCTCTACAATATCACCCCATGAAGTGCTCTGACGCCACGGCTCTCGAGCTGTCAGGAAAGACGTAGAATAAATTTACAGTTAAAGTCAGAATCATTAGCCCACTTGTCTATTTTTCCCCACACATTTTTTCAACACATTTCTAAACACAATAGTTTCAATAACTCATACCTTTTATCTTTGTCATGATGGCAGTAAATAATATTTGGCTAAATATTTTTTCAAGATACAAGTATTCAGCTTAAAGCTAGTTAATTAGGTTACTTAGGCAAGTCACTGTCTAATAATGGTTTGTCCTGTAGACAAATATTGCTTAAGGGGGCTAATAATATTGATCTTTGAGTTGTTTTAAAACAAATTAAAAGCTGCTTTTATTCTAGGCGAAATAAAACAAATAGGACTTTCTCCACGAGAAAAAATATCAGACATACTGTGAAAATGTCTTTGCTCTGTTAAGCATCCTATGGGAAATAATTGATAAAGAAAATAACAGGACGGATAATAATTCTTACTATAACTGTACCTGTATGTGTGACACCCCCCCCCCCCCCCCCCAAGTTAAGTAGATTAAGTCAAATAATGTATTTTCCGTTATTACAACAATTTAGACCATTCAGTTGCAGTCATTACACACACACAGTTAACTTAAACCAAAGTCCCTTTAAGGCAAGCCATTTCACTTGGCGGCCATCTTTGAGAGGCCTCTCAGGCCGTAAGCTCAATCATTCTGCTTAAATGGGGAAACATCAAATTCTCCAAAACTGTTAGCCAAGCTTATGATTATATTATATATTTAAAACCACCAATAAACTTAAACAACCTCTGACTAATAAGTTTTCTTTCATTCATTTATTCATTCATTTTCTTGTCGGCTTAATCCCTTTATTATTCCAGGGTCGCCACAGCGGAACGAACAGCCAACTTATCCAGCAAGTTTTTACACAGCGGATGCCCTTCCAGCTGCGACCCATCTCTGGGAAACATCCACACACACATTCACACACACACACACACACACACACACTCATTCACTACGGACAATTTAGCCTACCCAATTTACCTGTACCGCATGTCTTTAAACTGTGGGGGAAACCGGAGCACCCGGAGGAAACCCACGTGAATGCAGGGAGAACATTCAAACTCCACACTGAAACGCCAACTGAGCCGAGGCTCGAACCAGCGGCCCAGCGACCTTCTTGCTATGAGGCAACAGCACTGCCTACTGCGCCACTGCCTCGCCCAAGTATAGTTTCTAAACGTTTAAATCAAACCAAATCTGCGTATTTTCAGGTTAACCAAGCTAATAAGCAAACACACTCAAAAGGAATGCGATCACGATACCAACCTCATTTATCCTCGTTCTACATATTATCGTCCTCTCTGATCATCTCTATCAACAGATCGCGCAGCTCTTCTAAAGTAATTCACTACTTGGTCTTGATGGCGAGTCTCCTCCAGAAATTACAGCTACTCTTTGGCTGCGTCCGAAACCGCATACGTCCATACTATATAGTATGCTAAAATCAGTATGCGAGCCGAGTAGTATGTCGAATTCCTAGAATTGGAAAATCAGTATGCGAGAAGTACCCAGATGACTTACTACTTCCGGCGAGACTCTGCAGTGTGCATCCCATGATGCCCTGCAAGAGAATTCATGAATGGGAGTAAAGCGACGCAATTGACGCACGTAGGTCGCATGACCATGACAAAATGGCGGATGTAGTACGTCCGAATAACATTCATACTTTTCACATTCATACTGTGTAGAACATATTTTTCTAATGGCCGAGAAGCACGTTTAAAATCAAGTGCAGTACCTACTGAGTAGTAGGCAGTTTCGGACGCAGCCTCTGTTTGCAAATTTTTGTGGGCGTTTAAGTAATTGCTGTCAGGTGATGTGCGTTTGACAGGACGGACTGTACCTCGCATTCGTTTCATACAGATTACAAAACCGAAATACTTCATTTAAAAATAAAGATTTCAAGTTTTGTGGATACATTTCTTCGCTGAGAATCCAGTGTGAAACTATCGTAAAAGTCTGATCCGAGCTTCTCCCCGGACAAACGTCAGTCTACAGTGATTGATGATTGGCTCCTGTACTGGTAGGCGGGGCTTTATTCGCTATTCTGACCGTTACACTTTACCCCAATCAAAACTATACGAGTGACAAGTTTTGTGTATTTTACAGTCTTTGCTAAAACACACCGTTAGAACTAAAGACTGAATAATTACCCTCGTAATCAGCCAACATCTCGCTCCAGTCCAAATTCAAGCCACAACTTCCACTCCCGATACTTGCCTTTAAAAGAGCAGAAACAGATGAAAATGCTTACAGTAATTTAGAAAGCACAAAATGATAACCTATCAGAGTCGTTGACCTACAGAGAAGTCGCTCTCATTGTCGGTTTCCAATTCGCTGTTCTCCGCCTGGATCTCTCGTGTCAGCTGTTCCTCCTCCGCGATGGCGCTCGCAATCGCCTCTTCATTGGCTTTTTCCAGACGATCAGCCATCTCCTCCTTCTTAGCCAAAACTTCAGCCATGGATTGAGGCTGACAAAAAGCGTGAAAACACTCATTAAAGTCACTACACCAAATAGAGGCCAAAAAAAAAATGTTAGCCACATCAGGCTCCATTCCCAGGCAGCAAAACTTTAATCAAGACATCATTTCAGCACTTGTTTCTAACTTTAGGCTGGACCTACATTTCTGGAATGCAAAGCTTTAATGCAAACTTTAGCAACGGATGTTTAATAAACTGAAAAGAGACGAAATGAAATGATAACACGGGCACACGCCATAAACACAATCGATCACAAAAACCACGCATGGGGGAAAACGTAATGAAGTCATGCAGCACACAACCACAATAAGGGCGCAATAAGAATGAAGGGGATTATTTGGTATGATAGTAAAAAGTAGGGCTGGGCGATTAATCAAAAAGTAAGGAGCTATAATCGATCTAATTTCAATTTAAGGTCAATTTTTTTTTATTACTTTCCCTACCGCTTGTGGAGTCATGTGACTTTGCTCTGTTTAAGGCTGGTTTATACTTCTGCGTCAAGTAATCGGCATGACCCACGGCGCCTGCCTTGCGCATAGTCGTGCATTTACGCCTGATTCGCACGCCGCTTCAGCGTCAACACGTGACAGAGGGCGTGTCTGAAGTTGGGGCTGATGCGATCGTCATTGCAGCATAGGCCAATGAAATTAGTCCGCAATTGACTACTGTCTGAGCTGGTGTTTTTGCATAAAGCCATTTGATTGGCTGATGCATTCATTGGCACTTGAAAAGTTGAGAAAATCCCAACGTCTGTAGCGAGCACTGCCACTGAAGCAGCACCGTTGGATCCACAATGCAGTTTGACAACGCCTGACGTCACCCATTCAAAAGCGTTCACACTGACGCCACGAGTGAATGGGGCATTATACTTCTGAATGCTGTGTGTGTTGCTTCGAAGCGCTAGCTGCCAGTAGGTTTTTATGTTCCTCCGTGTCGAGTTTCTTTGGGGTGTTTTGTTTTTTTCTGAACGCTCCCTTAATGTACAAGTAGCTAAAACTTGCTTCTACAGAGGCGGGAACCGGCGGACGTGCAACAACTTTAATCACAACACAAACACAAAACAGAAGTCTCCATCTGAAGCTCCTTCATGGGACTCGACACTAGTAAACACTCTCAGTCACAGCTACCTAGCCGACCAATCACAGAGCTTGTGCTACGTGTTGTAGTGACGTGTAGTTACATTTTTTGAGAGGTGCGCATAAGAGTCGGCATCAGCCACGGTGAGGGCTTTGCGGCCTTTAGATTTCTGCGTCGAGTGTAGCGTATGGTCTGGCGCAACCTACATGCCTTCGCATACCCCTCGCCGTGACTGACGCCAACACTGACCTCTTAAAACATGTAACTACATGTCACGACGACGTATAGCGCAAGTGAATTCTCATCTAGCATTGACGAGTGTGGGCTGCACAGACAAGGCAAACAATAAATAAATAAATAAAAGAATTGTTCATTAATCGTGATTGAGTTAAAATTTAGTATAACGGTTTACCGAGATTTCGATTTCACGCCAAATCGCCCAGCCCTACTAAAAAGGTAAGTTGTGTTGTGAATATAGTCTTCATGGCTAATAGATAATTTTATTATTATTATTATTTGTTTACATTTTTTTATTATTATTAACGTACCACTTGCAAATTCACAGTTTCTCTAAATTTACTGGATTCATCAGGTGCGGTCTTGAGCAAAATGTTAATATTTGTTTTATTTTGTGAAGGTCAGATGACAATTCTTTCCAATTTCCAATAAACATTCTGTTATTTAAAGCATTTCTGTTCATTTAACGACAATTGGTTCAAGTAACAATGCTTTTATTTTTTGTTGTGATGGATAATCAGGGTTATATTGATTTCTTAAAGTGATTGTTCACCCAAAGATGACATTTCTCTCATCTTGTACTTCTTATTTTCTTCTGTTTCTTCAGTCAAATGTTGGGAACCTGTAACCATTGATTTCCACAGTGTTTGTTTTTCCCACTATAGATGTCAATGCTTGCAGTCTTTCAGCTTTCTTCACAATATCTTCTTTTGTGTTTAACAGAAGCAAAAAAAATCCGCAAATTTGGAACTGCTGGAAGGGTGAGTACATTTACATTTTTGGGTGAACTATCTCTTTAACTCTTCTGAAGTTAAAAACATTGTTATTGTGTTGCCTTAAAATAATTATAAGCATATTATGTGTGGGGCGACACAGTGGCTCAGTGGTTAGCACTGCAAAAAGGTCGCTTATTCGAGCCTCAGCAGGCCCAGTTGGCATTTCGGCGTGGGTTTACTTCAGGTGCTCCGGTTTCCCCCACATAAACTATAGGTGAATTGAATAAACTAAATTGGCTATAGTGTATGTGCATGTGAGAGTGTATGGGTGTTTCCCAGTACTGGGTTGCGGCTGAAAAGGCATCATCTGCGTAAAACATTTGCTGGATAATTGGCGGTTTATTTCACTGTGGCGACCGCTGATGAACAAAGGGACTAAGCCGAAACAAAATGAATGAATGAATGTTTTGTGTGTGTATGTACTTGTTTTTAAATCCAGGTGGGGACTTAAACCTGAATGCACACAAACTCGGAGTCCCCACTGAGATATAAAAACTATGTGTGTTTTCAATAGTCACTTTATGCCAAAACGTTTTTAAATTTGGAAGAAATGTCATTGGTACTTTACAGAATAAAACAAATCCAAAAACGTTTAACTCAAATACACGACAATAAATTTTCAATTGAGTGTTTGAGAATATTGACAATTTTTTAAGTTGTATCTTAATGTCTAATAGCTGCATTAATTTTATATTGTGCATTGTTATTATTATTGCGTTTAAATGAATGACTTTATTTTACTTTAGGTCAGTGTATTGGGTTGTCCAGGGCCTGCTAGGACTCAAGGAGGCTGAATGACTTTAAAGTATTCAAACGTATTGAAGTTAATCAACTACTATTAATATCTTAAAACCTTGAAGTCAAACCACTGATTATATAATTAAGATGGCCAAAGACCCTGCAATATGCCATTAGGCAACTCAGCACGATTAACCTGTAAGCAGATGGGTTTATTCTGATTTTACGGTGGTAACAATAGAGGGGTCTGTTGAGGGCCACATTTTTGCTCACAAGCATTCCATCCACTGGTGCACCTGTGGGTTTTCATGACTCGTGATGACTGGTAAATTGCCAAAATATTTTGGAAAAACTATCCTACCCACAGCCATCAGAGGCCACAACACTTGACCTCCGCTTTCAGAAGCTGACGAGTGAACAGTATGCCGAGTGCCAGTTTCAGTATGGCGGCAAGAGAGGACGGAGACGCTCAGAGCTATACTGAGGTCAGTGTCAGACCTCATGCTAACGAGCATAATAAGAGGTAGATTTCTCTCAACAGCCCGCCTGCTGGCCTTAGATCTGGAGTCTAAACAGAGCAGGGCTTATCTGACCCACCCAGAGAGGTGGTGTCTGGAGCTCGGAAGCAATGATTCCGGATTCTGACACCACTGAGATTGTGCTTCTGTCTGGCCGTTCAGACCTCATCCATCTCCATTGTTTCAGACTGGGTTTTGTACAGAGGCCAGCTCCTGTTGAGTAATGGAAGCCGGTAGCAAATGCAGGGGGTCTAGTCTTAATTAACCCCTTGGAGATTTCTCTTAAAGAGGGCGAGACAGGAGAAAAGTAGATCGCCACAATAGGAGTCGCTGTCTTCTACTTACCTTGTGGCATATATCTACAGGTCGAGTTGCTAAACCAACCAATGGTCTTGAAGTTCTAGAAGGTCAAACAGAACAATTTGAAACCGGTTGGATGCTGGACAGAAGTGTAATTACTGTACTTGGATCTGGTAAGTTTTTTGTCCCACTTTTCCAAAACAAGATCCTATTTTATGATGAAGGAAAGCTTTTCAAGGCTCCTGTTCTTTTTGAACTAAGAAACAATAATATAAAAGATCATAGGTGCGACTGGGTGTCTGGCAGGACCCTAGCCATGCACCATAACTCTGGGTAAAGCAACATTTTGGTGGCAAACGGGGCTTGTATTTTGCCAAAATGTTTACACCCAATTTAGGCCAAGGCTTAAAGTAATGGGAGCTGGTAACAAATGTAGTGGGTCTAGTCTTAAGTAAGCCCTTGGAGGTTTTTTCTTAATAAGGGCGAGACAGGAGTCAAGTAGATCGCCGCAACAGGACTCGCTGTCTTCTACTTGCCTTTTGGCCTATATCTACAGGTCAAGCAGCAAGTTTGAGAAGGTCTAACATTTTGAAAGTGGTAGGATGCTGGAAAGAAATTTAATTATTGTACTTGGAACGAAAAGGTTTTCAAGGCTCCTGTTCCTGTTGAACTAAGAAAGATTTATATAAAAGGTCATAGGAACGACTACGAGGGATTGGCAAAACCCTAGCCATGCATGCTCCATATCTCTGGGTAAAGCAAACTTTTGTTGTAAAACGGGCATGCATTTTGGTGATTTTTTTAGATCCGATTTTGGTCAAGGCTCAAAGCAATGGAACCCCTTAGAGATTTTTCTTAAAGAGGGCAAGACAGAAGACAAGTGGATCGCCACAACTGGAGTCACCAACTTACTTCTGCAGCAATCAGAAATCGACATGCCTTTTGGCCTATATCTGTACAGTGGGTCAATTAGCTAAACCAACCAATGGTCTTAAAGTTTGAGAAGTTTGAGGAAGACATTTTAAAATTGGTTGGTTGCTGGACAGAAATTTGATTATTGTACTTGGATCTGGTAACTGGTAAGTTTTGATATCCCTTTTCCAAAAGACAACAAGATCCTGTTTTGTGATAAAGAAAATGTTTTACAAGGCTGAAAAATTAGTTTCAAACTTGCTCCTTTAAAACTAAGAAACATTTATTTAAAAGGTAATAGGGGTGACTCTGGGTCGGCAGAACCCTAGCCGTGCATCACTTATGGGAACATTTTGCTGGAAATTTGGCATGAGTTTTGGTGATTTTTTTCACCCAATTTTGGTAAAGGCTCAAGGTAATGGAAGCTGGTAGCAAATGCAGTGGGTCTCGACTTAATTAACCCCTTGGAGGTTTCTCTTAAAGAGGGCGAGACAGGATATAAGTGGATCACCACAACAGGACTCGCTGTCTTCTACAGCCATGAGATATCTACATGCCTAGTTAGATTTTTGGCCAACATCTAATTAACCAATAGTCTTTAAGTTAAAGAAGTAAGTCAAGCAAGACATTTCACAGCTGGTTGAACATAATTTGATTATTGTAGGGTTGAAAGTCGATTCCAAAAATAATCGATTCCTTGATTGTGAGGCACTGAAAATCAAGAGTCGAAACCAAAGTTGGGAATTGATTCCATAAAGATAAATGACTTCTCTTTTCAGTTTATAAGAACTACTCAATTAAAACTTTCATGCTAATAACAACCTGAAGTCACTTGCTAATAAGGATCAGTTACATTTCTGCAAACAAATTTGCATAATTTGCATCTTTTAATTGGTTCAAATAACTAGTTCTCTTACTATTCTGTAATTTATACCATGCAAATATCCAAAAAATAAACTATGTAAACATTTATTGTTGATTATTACCTTTTATTCAATGAAGTTAATGTTAAATTAAGTTATTCAATTAAGTTAATGTTTGTAGCTTCATTTCTGTACCAAATTCATGCATATTAATACATCTTTTTCATGTGTGTGCCTTATAAACTATAAAGCTATAGTTATTTCTGAGTACAGTTTTCAGTTTCTATGTGACTGTTGTGATCATGCATGTTAGTAACAATATAATAATGTAGCTGGTATTTGTATGGCTTTTAATAATGCAAATAATGCTCCAACTGGCCGGCTTAAGAATCTGAAAAGAATCGCAACAACAGTGAGGAATTAAGTCAACGTAGTATTGGAATTGGAATTGATTCAAAAAATGTAGAAATTAGATTATTGCATTCTGCATCTGGTAGGTTTTGATATTTTTTTTCTTCAAAAGACAACAAGGCCCCACTTTATGCAGAAGAAAAGATTGTTTAAGGCTGAAAAATTGGTTTTAAATTGGTCCCCCTTGAACCATTAATATAAGAGTTCATAGGGGAGACTCTGAGAGAGGTTGGAGGAGCTCTAGCCATACACCACCTCTAGGAAAAGAAACATTTTGGTGGAAAACAGGCATACATTTTGGCTTTTTTTTTATTTTAACATACTATTTTGATAAAGGCTGAAAGTTCAGAATGCCTGTAGCACGTAAAGTGGGTCTAGTCTTAATTAACCTCTTAGATGTTACTGTTAGGGATGGCAAATGAGGGAAAATTAGAATGTCTTTACAAAAGTGCTTGCGTCACTCCTACTTTCTCTTTAAAAAAAAAAACAATAAAATAGGTGCCATATAATCTACATCTGTAGGCCAAGTGGTTAAGCCAACCAAGGGCTTTGACCTTAGAAGAGTTAAATGAAATATTCTGCACCATGACATTTGCATTTCTAATGTGATCTAGCATTGGTATTTCTTATACTGTTTTTGCAACAGATAATAAGGCCCTGTTTTCTTGGCTGAAAATTTTGTTCCAAACTATGAAACATTTTTATATTAGATCAGAGGAGCTGGAGGCAACTATTGAGAGTGATCTGCAGAAACTTGGCCTTACACTACCTCAAAAGTAGCAACATTTTGGCAGAAATAGGGGATGCGTGTTGGCATTTTTGAACGTAATGAGATTTCGGGAGGTCAAGGCTCAAAGGGAGGTCAAGGTCAACGAGAGCCTGTGGCTAAAAACTAGTCAAGTCATCTGACCAGTGCAGGGAACACTTGATAAGCCTAAAATAATAACTTGAACAACTGTGGTAACTCTTGCTTAACACTGCTCTCTATTTACATCGGAAACCTGCGCACCCCCTTCAGCACGCACACACATGTACTTGCTGAGAGAAAGGAGGAGGGATGGGGGTAACCCTGCCTCGTCTGGAGGTTTTTGGGATTGACTTTGTTTAGGCGGCAGCCCTGACCCTGGCCTGTGTCTCTCAGCACTCACAGTAGAAAGTTCTGTGGGGTCCAGCAAGCTCTCCAGTGTCATCACTGCCAGGGGAACGTAGACCGGTGCCTCCGCTTTTGTTGATGGTGTTGCGACCTTCCACACCGACCCCTCCGTCCCCTGCTCCACTTTGGTTAGCCCAGTACCCGTCTCCTCTGACTGAACAAGTGTTACAGGATGAGGGCTTGGATCGGGAACCAAGTCCGGGCACTGAACCTGCAAAAGGGGAGAAGTAGGGGGCGGCGTGGGGTCGGACGTGAGGGGTGGCGTGTCCTCAGAGGGGGCGCTGACACTCTGCCCTTCCTCTTCAATACTTTCTGCTGGGTGCTGCGCGATACACACAGATGCATACACAAATATGAACACAAACATGCAAGTCACAGCACTCCTCGCCGCATCTGTATGACAGACCGTTTGGCAGACATGAGAACAAGAAGGAAACAAACAGAACTGAAGAAACACAGCATGCTCAATAATTAAACAATATCATGCATTTCGCAAACAAACACGTAGCATACCAAGAACTGTACAATCAAGCACCACAGGCATGTAAACAAGTCTAAACTTGTGAGCTTGCCTATAGAGGCAGCATTTTCCAGACAAACCTCTTGACATGAAGCCTTTTTTTTTTTTTTTTTTTTTTAGAAAAGTAGCCATATTTTCTGCTTCCTAATAAAGTTCGGTCAAATTCTAGGTTTAAAAAGCAAAATATAAAAGCAAATATAAAAGACAGCAACACAAATGTATTTACTAAAAAAGACTTTCACACGGACGTTAAGACGAGAAATGACGAGACGAGAATTGCCTCTTTGAATATCACACTAACTGTACAAAAAATAAAAATAAAAAAATACTAATACTACTAATACTTCCCTTCTTAGACTTTACAGACCTGAAACTTGCCTATAGCACTTATTCATTGTTGCTCTTAGTTGTGTAAATTGCTTCCTTGTCCTCATTTGTAAGTCGCTTTGGATAAAAGCGTCTGCTAAATGACTAAATGTAAAATGTAAATGTAAATGTTTCAGATCCTCAAAATGTCAAAATTTAGTAATTAAATTTGACACTTTTGCAGCGTTTGGTGTTGCTTTTGTGGATTTTTTAATTATTTTTTTTTTTTGGCTAGGATGGAATCAAATGCATCAACAAAAATGTTTAATTTAAAGGGGTAGTTTAATGAAAATGAAAATCCAAATTTACTGGCCCTCCACTTGTTCAAAACATGATTGAGTTTCTTTTTTCTATTGATGAGAGAAGTAGAAATTTTTTGTTTTTCCTACAATGAAACGGCTGTGTATTCATAACCCTGAGGTAAGAATAAGTTCAGACTTGATTGTGTTTCAAGTGGACAAAGTAAATCGCCTATGGACGTCAATAACTACCAGTATCCATCATTCTTCAAACTATCATCTTTTGTTGTTCAGTAGAAAAAAGAAACTCATGAAGGCTAAATTGAGTGCATTTCCATTTTTGGGTGAACTATCCCTTTAAATCTGAAGAATGTATTATTCTAATTAGAGTGACGTGTTAATGACACGTGCACTTCAGAGCTGTTCCCTACCCTCCAAATCACTCACTGATGACTTTCTATTTCCGTCTCTTAGAAGGCAGGTGTCTATGCAGGAGGAAGTAGATAGCATGGCAGCTCAATTGGTTTGGCTTCGGCATATTCTCCAAACGCAATCCAGGACATCGTATCGTCAATATTTAATAGGCCTCATTGAATCTGATAAACATGTTCAAAAATCGATGCCCGTCCACTTGATACTGGCCTGTCTGGACAGTGTATCTATGAACACACTGTGACCAAACAAACACTTTCTGATGTTTCAGAGGCTTCATATCTATGGCTGGGCTCTAAATAATTAATGACGGAAGGTTGGTTGACGTCATTACCTCGATGACCGGGGTCTTTTCCATCTCTTTGCTGGGCTCTTGGGGTATGGGTGGCTCTTGCTCCCTCACGTCCTGAGATTTGTCTTGGGGTGAGGGTTGGACGTGCTGGTTCTCCTTGTCACTGTCGTCTTTGGGGCTCGCATGAACCAGAACTGGGCTTACTTTGGCCCTTGGCCTCATGGAGCGCCCACGCTGCACCGTCTCCCAGCCTTCTGCATCTTTCTTTGCTAAGGGTTGATGGACATGCATACAGTGCTCAGCATAAACCAGTACACCTTTAACGGATCTCCTTTAAAGGGGACCTATAATGCGAAAATCACTTTCATAAAGGGTTAACACAGAGTTGTGCGGCAGCAGTCTGTGAATATAACCAGCTTTTAATGGTAAAAATTGAATAATTAGGTTTTTTTATAATCACACTTGATCAAAACAGTCTGTAGAAACACTTTGATTGACATTCCATTCTCCCTCAGAGGGGGAAAGCCCCACCCACTAGTGACAATCTCTCCCTCATTAGCATAGAATGCAAGTCTTGTATTTGAATCTACCACTATGCTGACACATAGATATTTGTAGCTCCGCCCTCTTTTGAAAAGAGCACAATCTCATTTGAATTTAAAGCGACAGTGACCAAAACATCACATACACACTCTAGAAACATTACAGACTTTTTTTTTTTACATTTTGCAAAAAGGAGCATCATAGGTCCCCTTTAAATAATAATTTCTATAGTATGCTTCACAATACCATATTTGAGCATAATGTATACATTAGATTAGTCAGTTCAAAAGCCAAAACAGGAAATAATGTAATAAAAAAAACTTTTATCAGAGTCCAAAAATTGTGTTGGAAAAAATTAGAAGTATGTTGGAAGATTAATATTACAGATTAGTTTAAATTATAATAATACAAAACATATAGAAATTAGTATGTTGTGGGAATAATGTGTTAATATTAATAATATGTATTCATGTTAATTTTAATTATACAAAACTTGCAGAAATTAGTATGTTGAGGGATTAATATTACACATTACTTTAAATTATAATGATACAAAACATATAGTAATTAGTATGTTGGGGGATTAACCTGTTAATATTATTATTACACATTACTTTAAATTATAGTGATACAAAACATATAGTAATTAGTATGTTGGGGAATTAATAGGTCTATATTAATAATATATATCAGTTTAAATTATAATTATGCAAAACGTATTAATTCCTTAATGAACTCATTTCTATATGTATACATTGAAATTATATATTCGTTTAAATTATAATTATACAAAAACTTACAGAAATGTATACGTTGAGGATTAATATGTTTATATTAATATTATATACTAGCTTCAATTATAATTATACAACATTTACAGAAATTATTATGTTGGGGGATTAATAAGAAGTTTATACTTATGTATTAGTTTAAATTATAATTATACAAAACTTATGAAAATTAGTCTGCGATAAATATATTTTTATTAATATACAAATTAATATATTAACATACATAAATATGTTAATATAATTACTATGTTGAGTGAAAATATTAAATACAATTTGAATAAACAGGAAAAAAAAAGCGAAACATTTAAATAAATAACTTTAGTTGAAATTTTTTAGTTATATTTAATTTAGTTGTGAATTGTTGAATTTAAATTAATTATCTTTTGGTTCCTAAAGATGTTAGGAGTACAAACTAAAACTTTTATTGGATATAACCGTTTTATAAAACCGCTTTGTTTAAATGCACCAAAATATATTAGTTATATTCCCTGAGAATATAAAAGAGTGTATACTTATTTATGCCCAGCACTGTATATTTCAGGGCTATTCAATTGGCGGCCCGTGGGCCGAATCCGGCCCCCGAGGCACTTTGTTCTGGCCCTCCAAACAGTGTGACCAAGACATCAAAAATAATGAATATAAGTTCAGTCGACAAATGGCCGCTATAGTTATGAAGTGGCGTGCGTCTGTTCAATTACAGCATGAGCTGCAGTTAAAGGCTGCACAGAGCGTGAGTCACCATAAGCGAGTGGTGCGGGCAGCCGAAAACATGTTTGTAGAAAAGGCTATTGTACAATGCACTGATATCGTTAATATGGATGTAACGATTAGCCGATTTCACTATTAACTGCCCTTTAATTCATCAAAGTTTATTAATCGTAAAGTCTTCTCTAAGCCGCATTTCTGCCGCATTCCAAGTTGCCTGTGCGCTGGTTTTAAGTTTGAAGTACACCGAGGCTAATACGCACGCACACAGGATTAACTGTAACATAAACAAGTTTGTTATTTCTAATGTAAGAATATATGACAGTGTGCGGGCGCCAGCCGAGCGACACGCTTGCGTCTTTCTGGGCGCACGCAGTAGAAAACATCTCACGGTGAGAGTTGTGCGTGATCTTTCAGTGCAATGTAAACAAAAGAGATGTTAGACGAATTATTATTAAAATGATTATGTATGCATGAATGCAGATGGCAACAACAGTTAATCTAAATAGCTACTTACCTAATATAAAGCTTGAATTTACATTAGACGTGATAAAACAGTGAAAGCATGATTATTCTTCCGACAATATAATTGTACAACCAAAATCTATAATTGTTGCATCCCTAATTGTTATGCAGTTCAAAACATAATGTATGACTGTGTCTGAATGTAGAAGAAGCCCACTTCAGCAATGCACTGCTTTTGTTGTGCTCTGAAATACAACATTTGAATGTTTTTTAAAAAAAGAAAAAGAAAAAAAAGTCTATTGTACACTGCACTGATATTATGCAGTTTCAAAATAAAATAAATGACCATTTTAATGTAGAAAAAGCTAACGTGGCTGTCTTAAGGAGCAAAAATATACAGCATGTGGGCCCTTTTATGCTGTTGTGTCATCACTCATATCCCTCCGGCCCTTCATTTGGGACGCTTTTCATGAACCGGCCCCCATGACAAACTAATTGAATAGCCCTGGTATATTTACATAAACAAATAATAGAGATGCATTCATTTTTGAACATAAATGATTGTATATTAATTCACCTGGTTTTTCAGCAGGGATGTAGACGCTTTGGCTAGGGACAGGTAGGGAATGGGAAGATTTGACCCGGTCGGCCCAGCTTGGTCCAGTGTGGGACAGACGTGCCACAGCCAAAGTGGGAGGAGGACCACTGCATAAAAACACACAATAACAAACCCATTTAACAGCAGAAACGCCACTGTTGCTCTAAAGGTGGATTTGACCAAATCTAAATAACATATTTTTAATAAAACATTTCTCCAGGTCATTGACTTTCACTAAAACACACACAAAAAATGTACTGTTTGCTCAAACTATTTATTCAAAATGAGCTGAAACAACATCATTTTTTGAGAAGTTTTTGAGGAGGCAACTTAATTGTTTTATGTTTAATCCACTTACATTTGTACAAAACTAAAATGAGTTAACTTAAATCCCTCATGTTGTCCCAACACAAATTGATTGTGTGGAAACCAGCATTTTTTACAGTGTAGTGTAATTTACACTCATCTGGTGTTCAAAATAGTTTCAATAAAAGCAGTTAAAAAAAAACTAAATGTTTATAGAGGTCACACTTTATTTTATCATAATATATATGAATACGTACTACATAAGAACAAATAAAGAGCCAAAATCTTGATAATAGTCCAGCCTGATCTCACGAGAAAACGTAAGTATTTTACGTTTTGCCAATTTAGTGGCTAATTCGTACGAATTCGTACGAGTACAGTCGTTTGAAATTGTGCGATTTTTAAATGAAGGTGTGGCACCTAACCCCACCCCTAAACCCAACTGTCATTGGGGGATGAGCAAATCGTACTAAATTGTACGAATTAGATCGTACGAATTCATACGAATTAGCCACTGGATCAAAAAGTTACAAATTGCCATGAGATGAGGTTTTCATTCAGGATGTCTCTGTACATTGCTGCATTCATCTTTCCCTCTATCCTGACTGGTCTTCCAGTTCCTGCTGCTGAAAAACATCCCCACAGCAAGATGCTGCCACCACCATGCTTCACTGTAGGGATGGTGTTAGCCTGGTTATGAGCGGTGCCTGGTTTTCTCCAACCGTAACTTCTGGCATTCACTCCAAAGAGTTTAATTTTAGTCTCATCATTTAAGTTCAATCCAATGAGGCTCGCCTGCTGCTCCTGATGCCGCTTGCGTTTAAACAAATCTCGTTTAATGCTTGAATATTTAAATATTTTATATTCGAAAATACATTTTATACTTGAATAAATCTACATCACCGATGCTGTAAAAGAAACATTATAAAATTGAAAACAATCGCATCAATCGTTCACCAGAAATTTATCAGTGGCTGTAAAACACTTTCTATGCATGCACCTCATTGCATCTCTACATCTCCGGACACTAGCTCTGTCTACTCCAGAATCTGACGAATTGATTAGCTGTAGGCTCTAGATCAGTCAGCTGAAGCATTGTCATACAGTGTTATGCTGGATTTCATCAATAGCCTTGCATTTACTAACAGACTATATTTGAAGTGTTTGGAGGTAATTCGCGTTTTCCTTCTGTTGAAAAACGTCATAAGAACAATGTTTAGTGGCTCACTGTATTACTACAGTGTTTTGAAAAGTCTAAACACTTTATTGATATAGTATACAACCAAGCACAAGTGGTCAGAACACAAACGAGTCGCAGGTGATGAAGTATTAAGTGTCTCCCAAAGTAAAGTGTGTCTGAACCAGGTCCAAGCAAATTGCCAGCAGGTGTCTGTAGCTCCGCTCATTCTCCGCCTCTTTGCCCTTGTTTGGTATCCCGCCGTGGGTGCGATGACGCGCAAACAAAATGGTGACGGTTGGCCACGCCTACTTGTGGCTTCTTTTGCGCTCTTTAGAAACCTATGGGTGACGTCACGGACACTACATCCATATATTTTACAGTCTATGGTCCTCGCTCCTCATCCTTACTGAACCGTGACAAAAACAGTGGGCGTGACTTATTTTTTCCACTGCAAGCTGATTGAATGTAGTAAAGTAGGCATTTCATTCATAAAGACCGGGATTCAGGAGAGTTATTACAACCTAACAGGCACCTCCTCCTCACCGTTTCTGTTTCTGAAGTATGGTTAAGTATGTAAGCCACGCCCAATTCCTCAGACAGAAATAATCTGAGAATTTAACCGAAAACAACAGGAAGTGCATTTTCAGATTTCAATTAAAGATTAGAAGGACAAACTATTTAGTTTTTTTAATGACATGCACAGATGAATTGCTCACCACAAAACTAGCAATGTGAGCTAGCAAACTCATCATGGTTAGTTTTGATGTCATGTGTACTTTAAATGACCTGCTTTCTATGGCGAGCCTTAGCATCATGTGTGGGGCATCCTTAAACATTGGGAACTAAAGCAGAAACTTCAGAGCGAGGGCCCTTTCTCTCTGTCTTGATCGATATCCATTTCCTGAGGCGTCCAATTACAGCGTAATACAGACATGAATGCCCGTGCTTCAGCAGTCTTTAACCACACTTAGACCTGCACCCCCACTGCCTCAGGCGCAGACCCGAGGAGAACCCGGCAAAAATCGCATTAAACCAAACGCTCAGGCCCGTTTGCGGATCGATTCCCCTTCTCGTCCCAGACGGGCGTAGTCTTTCCGGTCTGGTGGTGAGGCACAGATATGCATCATATCTGCCATTGATTTGTCCATCTGAGCATTCAGTGGTGCTTTAATCGGATTATGAATTGTCTTCCTTTCACACTAGCCGTAAAAAAAAGAAAAAAGACAAACGCATCTAATGCAGGAAGCCTCATTGCTGGATTGTGAGAGTCGGCACAATTCGCCGACAGAGACAACGATGTCAATTAGCACAGCGCGTGCAGGGATAATGGCTTGAGGTCAGATTTAACAGATATACAGTTGAAGTCAGAATTATTAGCCCTCCTGAATTATGAGCACCCTGTATAATTTATTCTCCAATTTCTGTTTAACAGAAAGAAGATTTTTTTTCAAAACATTTCTAAATGTAATAGTTTAAATGATTCATTTCATATTAATAACCGGTTTATTTTATCTTCTCCATGAAGACAGTACATTATATTTTTTCGAGATACTATTATTGAGCTTAAAGGGGCATTTAAAGGCTTACTCCCAAGGCCATTTACACTCACCGGCCACTTTATTAGGTACACCTCAAATTTCTAACCAGCCAATCACATGGCAGTAACTCAATGGATTTAGGCATGTAGACATGGTCAAGATGATCTGCTGCAGTTCATACTGAGCATCAGAATGGGGAAGAAAGCTGATTTAAGTGACTTTGAACGTGGCATGGTTGTCGGTGCCAGACGGGCTGGTCTGAGTATTTCAGAAACTGCTGATATACTGGGATTTTCACTCACAACCATCTTTAGGGTTTACAGAGAATGATCCAAAAAAGACGAACTATTCAGTGAGCGGCAGTTATGTGGGCGTTGTTGATGCCAAAGGTCAGAGGAGAATGGCCAGACTGGTTCCAGCTGATAGAAAGGCAACAGTAACTCAAATAACTACTAGTTACAACCGACTTCTGCAGAAGAGCATCTCTGAACACACAACACGTCCAACCTTGAGGCGGATGGGCTACAGCAGCAGAAGACCACACCGGTTGCCGCTCCTGTCAGCTAAGAACAGGAAACTGAGGCTACAATTCACACAGGCTCAACAAAACTGGACAATAGAAGATTGGAGAAAGATTGCCTGGTCTGACGAGTCTCCTTTTCTGCTGCAACATTCAGATGGTGGGGTCAGAATTTGGCATCAACAACATGAAAGCATGGATCCATCCTGCCTTGTATCAACTGTTCAGGCTGGTGGTGGTGGTGTAGTGGTGTGGGGGATATTTTCTTGGCACACTTTGGGCTTATTAGAACCAATTGAGCATCGTGTCAACCCCACAGTATTGTTGCTGACCATGTTCGTCCCTTTATGACCACAGTGTACTCATCTTCTGACTTCCAGCAAGATAACAAACCATGTTATAAAGCGTGAATCATCTTAGACTGGTTTCTTGAACATCAATGCTATCAATGCATCTTGAACAAATGCTATCATGTCAATATGGAGCAACGTCTCTGAGGAACATTTCCAGTACCTTGTTGAATCTATGCCATGAAGGATTAAGGCAGTTCTGAAGGCATAAAGGGGGTCCAACTCAGTACTATTAAGGTGTACCTAATAAAGTGGCCGATGAGTGTATATAGTGTGTACTGTATTTTTATATTGTTTAACTTTTTAGACTTTTTATATGACCTCTCTCTGGAATAATATGCAGGATTTATTGAAAAGCAATTAAGCATGAGAAAAACGCGTCTGCTCACCTTGCCGCCATAACCGGAACTCAACTTTTCAGACTTTTATTACTCCCATAAAAAAGGAATAAAATAATAAAGGAATAAAAATACTTATCAAATACTTATTTTCTCTATATTCCTATATAGCATAAAAAATTGTACAACAAATCTTAACCCAGCTCTTACAAAGTCTTAATGAAATTGTTGGACACTTAAAACCATTTCCAAACAACACTGAGAAATAATCAATGATGAAAGTACAGCAGATTTATTTAGTTTGTTACCATGGTGTAGTAAAACTCTAATGGATATGAATATGGGGCAGAGAGACGTGTTTTTAAGAGATCCTGCATTGTATGGATAGGACGAGATTGGCCTACCCAAAATTGAGGGCACGACGAACACCTGGTGATGGAACAATCCGGTCTGAGGAGGGGCTAGACATCACATGGCGTCCTGGTGACATCTTTCGAACTTCCCAAGCCAAAGACGTGGGCCTGTGGTAGGATGGATCAAAAAATTATTAAGTCAAACATTTGCTAGCTGAACACATGTATGTGGGTTTGAGTTTGTGTGTGTATGTGTGACATTTACAAGTCAAAATTATTAGCCCCCCCTGTATAATTTTTCCCCCAATTGCTGTTTTTTCTGTTCAATTGAGATTTTTTAAAGATTTTTTCGACACATTTATAAGCATAATAGTTTTAATAACTCATTTCTAATAACTAATTTCTTTTATCTTTGCCATGATGACAGTAAATAATATTTGACTAGATATTTTCCAAGACACTTCGATACAGCTTAAAGTGACATTTAAAGGCTTAACTAGCTGAATTAGGTAAGTTTGAGTAATTAGGCAAGTCATTGTAAAATGATGGTTTGCACTGTAGACAATCAAAAAATAATATTGCTTAAGGAGGCTAATAATATTGACGTCAATTTTATTAGCCTCCTTGAGTAATATTATTTTTTGAAAAAACTAATTGGTTAGGTATGGCAACCAAATTTTAACGTCTGATAGACGTCATAGTGGTAACGTCCACACAACTTCAAGCGGTGACATCAGTAGATGTTGATATTTGGTTGGTTTTAGGTTGGACATTGATGTTGGTCTCTTTTCATTTCCAAACAAGATGCAAAGTCCCCACCACGTTAGGGTACAACGTCAATCTGATGTAATGTTGACGTCTAGATTAAGTATCGACGAAGCTAATAACTAAGGGCCGTTCACATGTTGCGTCTTTTGCATTATTTCTTTTCTTGCGCGCATATCAGGAGTGACATGCACGCGGCATGACGTGCTCATGCTTTCCAGGTGCACGTAGAAGAATGGCGCAAGCGCACCGTGAGTCAAGTCCAAATACTCAGTAAATATGATGCTCAGATTAAACAAATCCTTTTTTTTTATTCTTATTTTATTTATTTATTCATTGTTCTGTCATTTATTTTCAGCATAAAATTATTACTTATGTTTAAATGCCAAAAATTTCTATTTACTTATTTTTAAGTCCAAAGAGAAAACTATTTTTTTTATTACTATTATTATTATTATTATTATTATTATTATTTGGTAACTGAGAAGCAATAAATAAAACTTTCAAATATAAAGAGATGTCATGTAATTTTCTAATTTTTACATTTGAAATTAATAAATGCATAATAATTGTGATAACCGTGAAAATAGTGATTGTTCCTCCAAAAATTCCTTGCTCTGTTAAACATCATTTGAGAAATATTTGAAAAACAAAACAAAATTGACAGGAGAGCTAATAATTTTGGCTTCAACTGTATGTGTGGCTGTTTGTGTGTGTGTGTGTGTGTGTGTGTTTTCAAAAGAGCTCTGTACAAATTAGCACAACTTAAAAGCTCAGGTTTTTATGCCATAATCAATGTACTCGTGTTGTGGTCACTTACTCATTACGGCAAAACCATGAATCACCTCAAACTGCTCATTGATCAGGCTGAAAGGATCGCATTTCAAACTGCAGCGCAAAAGACTCACCAGTGGCTTTTGTACATGTTAAAGGCAAGTTACAATCTTAAGTGTGTGTGTGCGTGTGTGTGCGTGTGTGCGTGCGTGTGTGCGTGTGTGTGTTAATCACCTGTTCTGAGCATCTGTTTTTTCCAGCTTCTCCTGCAACTGGATCCAGTCTATTAGAGCTTTGAAGTCTCGCACATAGTTATCCAACATCATCAGCACCTCCTGGGAGGGAAAAACAAGCACTGTCAGGTTTGAAGAAAGCAAAAAGATCCAACAGAAATGTATTAAACCAACCAAACAAAAAAGGCAAAGTCTTATCTAAAGCCGCTTTTCCACTGCACACAACAAGTGACAGACCGGAATTCATTCATTTCCAATGGAGAGTAGTCCAGGAGCTGTGTGGAGTTCCGATCATATCCGTATGTGGAAAATTCGGTTCCTATTTGAGCAGCGGATGTGATGTATTCCTGTGTTTTCCAATCAGGTTTGAGTGAGCATGATGAGGATTATTAGTCTTTTTTGGTTCATTTTTGTTACTTTTAGAATTTAAAAAAAATAATAATAAAAATTCTATTCAAAAGTAATACAAAATAATTTTGTATTGCGGTCTCCAAATTCCCGCCAAAATCTTCAAGGGTTTATTAATGTCTAGTATTTATTCATTCACTCAACCATAGTGAATGCACGGTGAATAAAGACTCTTGCTTTTGCATTCCTTTATTTTGGAAACTATGAGAATCAGCTTCTCTCCCATGGTGCACAACAAAACTGAAAATTCTATGCAACTGCCACAAGGGGGCGTATTGCGTCAGTCTGTCTGAATGTCGTGTGCAATGGAATTACGGCTTAAATGGAAAAAATGTTCTTGTTAAATCTGCCAAAATGGTTTTACGAACTATTAACCATCAAAAGGTCAAAGAGGGCAAGAAGTGCCCTAAATTTGTCCAACCAACTGAATTGAAGGCACAGTGCTTAAGAATCAACTTTCACTAGTTCCATTCATTGGAGTTCCAAAAGGTTAACGTTCATCTTGCAGATAAATTTTGTACCACAACGATCTGGGCTGTTCATCAATATCAAGAAGGGACTTACAAGAACGGACCAAGAACAGAAGATAAACAGAAGAAGAGCAGACGAAGGATGGACCAAGAACAAACCAAGAAAAGACCAAGAACAGACCAAGAATGGACCACGAACGGACCAAGATTGGACCAAGAACGGACCATGATCGGACTAAGAATGGACCAAGAACAAACCAAGAACAGACCAAAAATGAACCAAGAATGGACCAAGAACATACTAAGAATGCCCCAAGAACAGACCAAGAACTGACCACAAATGGACCAAGAATGGACTAAAAATGGACCAAGTACAGACCAAGAATAGACTAAGAATGGACCAAGAACAAACCAAGAACGGACAAAAAAAACGGACCAAAAACGGACTAAGAAGAGACCAAGAACTGACCAAGAACAGAACAAAAATGGACCAAGAACAAACCAAGAAAAGACAGAGAACGGACCAAGAACGGACTAAGAATGGACCATGAACGAACCAAGAATGGACCACAAACAGATCAAGAACAGATTAAAAATGGACCAAGAATGGACTAAGAATGTACCAAGAACAGATCAAGAATGGACTAAGAACAAACCAAGAACAGACCAATAACGGACTAAGAACAAACTAAGAACAGACCAAGAACGGACTAAGAATCGACCAAGAATGGACCAAAAATGGACTAAGAATGGACTAAGAACAAACCAAGAAAGAACCAAGAACGGACAAAGAACGGACCAAGAACAGACCAAGAACAGATCAAGAACTGACCAAGAACAGAAAAATGGACCAAGAATGGACCAAGAACGCACCAAGAACGCACCAAGAATGGACCAAGAATGGACTTGCATTCATTCTCCTGCCAAATTACCTCTGAAGAACAAGCTCAGAAGACCATGAGAACACCGAACGTATGATGTGAGATGCTGCTACTCCATGCAAATGGTTACTCCATATTTTACATTTCTGTATGTTAGTTATGTTTTGATCTTTAATTGGTCTCACAGATTCACGTAATGCAAAACCACAGGTCAGAGTTCCCCAAGATTGAACTTTAGAATGCAGCAACATGCAAAACTTGCTTACATTTCAGCAGCATTCACATTAATCTATGGGGCAAAAGTGTAGTTTGACTAAATAAAAATGAATGTTTCACTTAGGGAAACTCATGGGATAAACAAGTTAGATTATATCTCTGAACCGCAAACAAAGCTGCAGTCACACTAGAGTTTGAGCATGCGAAATTCTATCGAACGGTGCAGTAAAAAGGGGCAGGATAAAACAAGTTGATGATTGGTCATGGTTTAATCTTCTATTGGTCACACATGCCAGCAGTTAGCTCTCTGCAACTCTCACATGGTCACCCACTGAAGCTAAGCAGGGCTGCGCCCGGTCAGTTCCTGGATGGGAGACCACATGGGAATGCTAGGTTGCTGCTGAAAGTGGTGTTAGTGAGGCCAGCAGTCTCTGCGGTCTGTGTGGGACAGTATATTGATGGGGACTCTATAGCGCCGTCTTTGTCTCTGGTTTGAACCATGCTTGAGCCCAATTGAGAGCACTCACACTTCTCAAACGATCTGGGAAATGGGCCTAGGCACGGTTCGGACAGCATAGTGTGAGTACGCCCTTAAAAATTCAAGGATTTCCTTCGAAAAAGAGTAGAGGTTTAACCCCGGCATCCTTGCCAAATTTGCCCACTGGCCTCTGTCCATCCCCATACACCCTCAGAAATAAAGGTACGTGAGGGGTCACTGGGGTGGTACCTTTTCAAAAGGTAAAAATTTTTTCCTAAAAAGTCCATATTAATACCTCAAGGGTACATAATTACTACCTTAACCCCTTCAGACCCTGCGTCCATTACAATGGACATCACATGACATCCCATTTTTCTGAAATTTGGAACATAATTCAGGTCTGAAGGGGTTAAATGTACAAAAGGGTTCCTCCAAAAAATTTTATGTACTAATATATACTTTTGAGGTACCAATATGTAGCCTTTAAGTACAAATATGTACCTTTTGAAAAGGTACCACCCCAGTGATAGCTCGCCTACCTTTATTTCTAAGAGTGCATCATAATTGACTTCATCACTTGGTCTCTACACCAATCAAAAATTGCATCGTCCAGGTGGATGCTGCACACTAGTGGTGGATGAGGAGATCTCCAAAAATGTGTAAAGCGATTTCAGTGTCCAGAAAATCGATATATAAAAGTAAGGAATTATTATTAATTATCATTATTATTAACGTGAAGCAAAAATCGCAGGTCAGACTTCCCCAAGTTTGAACTTTTGGAACTGATTGACGTACAAAACGTGTCACACAAGCTTGCATTTCCAGTCAGCAGCATTCATGTGCAAATAAATAGCTGTCAATAGGGTGAAACGTACAATGTGCACTTCCCAACCCTTTTTATTTAGCTGCTATGACTTCTGGGACTTTAAATGAGTGCAAGTCTGCTTTTGAAACATTCTCAACATCAAGAACAAATTCGGGTTCTTTCAAGCATCCACTGTTCTTGCAGTCTTGAGTATTGCAGTTAAATTTAAGTGGCTGATGATAATGTTGGATGAGCACACAAAATTGTTAAAGAACGTATATTGGGAAAGAGCTCTGACAATGCAATAGTGCAGATCAGCCACCCACCCTGAAGCCTCCTTTGTGGCATCTCTGAAGGGACAATGAGAAAGCCAAGACTCCCCCGGCAGAATCTAGCGAATTCTCAGGTAAGCAGTATCCCGGACGAGCCCCCTATTTCTTGTCTACACTGAGGATCTGCTGTAAACCAACACCCCGTTGTCTCTACTAAACAGTGGGCATCTAAAGCCACTGGAGCACATCTCACACAACCCTCCCTCCCAACTGAAGCACTCCATTCACAAATGCCAGGAGGGGACAAAAAGAAAAGGATGAGGGCAAAAGAAAAGGGGGGAAAAAAGAGTGCTGCTGCTTCTTTTCGCCTCAGTGGTCTTCCACAAGAGGTGCGGCTGAAATTACCAATTAGCTTTGCAAAAGAGGGCTGGCAAATCTGATTGGAGCTGTAATCATTTCTAGTTACTGGCAAAGAGTGTGCATCGAATGACGAAACGTTCATTGTTTATCCGATATTCAATCTGCGAGTGCCGCGGGGACTCTGGGGAATCCCTTGGCTCCAACAAAGACACCAGAGAGTGTCGAAGAGCCTCGCCACAACACAAATAAGTACAGGTCTGCAAATCTAGACCTACCACAGACTCGTAAGACTACAGCAAACCTGTCTGCAGCTCCTAAAGATGCCCAACATTGTTTTGAGTTACAAGCGTGTACACTGTAAAAAAAAAAAAAAAAAAAGGCATGACTACTATTGATTTTGTTTGCCTTATTCTTAGGAATTTATAATTGGGCTCAAATTATAACATTAAGACAGGAAAAAAATTTTTTACAGTGTATAATTCCTACAAATCTTTTTTCCCTTCAGATGATACATGGATGGAGGATATTTTTTACAATAACAGAAAAGTGAAGATGCTTACTCTCTGGATCACTCAAATCTTTTAATAAGATTTGAGATCCCATTTTTGGACTACATCAAAGGTTTACCTGTACCTTATACACATGTATAAGTATACACTTTATTAGATACACCTTACTAGTACGGGGTTGGACCCCCTTTTGCCTTCAGAACTGCCTTATTCCTTCATGGCACAGATTTAACAAGTTACTAAAAATATTCCTCAAAGATTTTGCTCCATATTGACATCATAGCATCACACAGTTGCTGCAGATTTAACGGCTGCACATCTATGATGCCAATCTCCCGTTCCACCACATCCCAAAGGTGCTCTATTGAATTGAGAATCTGGTAACTGTGGAGGCCATTTGAGTACGGGGAACTCATTGTCATGTTCAAGAAACCAGTCTGAGATGATTTAAACTTTATGACATGGAGTGTTATTCTGATGCAAGTAGCCATCAGAAGATGAGTACACTGTGGTCATAAAGGGATGGACATGGTCAGCAACAATACACAGGTAGGCTGGGGCATTGACACAATTTTCAGTTGGTACTAACGGGTGCAAAGTGTGCCAAGAAAACATCTCCCACACCATTACACCACCACCACCAGCTTAAACCATTGATACAGGGCATGATGGATGCTTGCTTTCATGCTGTTGGCGTCAAATT